TTGTGATCTTGAGCAAGACACTTCTGTGTGTCTGTTTTCTCATCAGGAAAATGGGAAACAATATAATAGTAACCTATCTTATCAGGATTGCTGAAGATTAAATCAAAGTAATATATACGAAGTGCTTAGAAAAGGACCTACTATGTACTAAGAATTCAATAAAAGTTGGTTTTCATAATTTCAGTACTGGACAGTGCTGTTTAAAGAAACACACAGCCTGGGGCCGGCCGAGTGGCTCAGTTGGTTAAGAGTAGACTTAAGAGTGCGAGCTCTGAGCAACAGGGCCGCCGGTTCAATTCCCACATGGGCCAGTGATGCTGAGCCCAAGTTGAGCTGTCGCTGAGCTGCCAATATGTGACAGGATGGCTCAGCTGGTGTAACGACAAGATTGCCTGTTCAATGGTGGGCTATGCCCACCCGCAACTAAGACTGAACTCGGCACCTTGAGCTGAGCTGCCACCCAGATGGCTCAGTGGATAGATAGTGCGCTCTTAACAACAAGGCTGCTGGTTCGTCTCCCTGCATGGGATGGTGGCTACGCCCACCTGCAACTAAGATTGAACACAGCACCTTGAGCTTAGAGGCCACGAGCTGCCGATGAGAAGCCAGATGGCGACTGGCGCCCTCCACAACGAAGTTGAAGAACAACAACTGGGCTGGTCCCCTTCCCCAACTCCCCAATAAAATCTTTAAAAACAAAACAAAACAACAAAAACAACACACAGCCGTAATACAACAGATTTAGAGAATGTGACTAGGAGGGTAAGGGAACAAGCCATGTCATGTAAAAGAAGACTGAAAAAACTAGGCATCTTAAGGCTAAAAAAGAGAAAACTCAGAAGTCTTATATCATGTTTGTCTTATATTTGCTCTGCATTGCTCAGAAGTAGAAAGGACTTTGTCAAATAGTCCTAGAAGGAATGAGGTGCCTGGGGAGGAAGGCAGTGGACAGAGCTGGGGCAGGATGGTTTTATAGTCATAAAGATCAAAATTTTCTGTATGTTTGAAAATTTCCCTAAATAGTTGGAGGAAAAAGAACTTAAAAAGAATCCAAATTTGGAAATT